CTTGATGCTATACTGATCAAAACGTGTTCTTTTAATTTTTTTGAGCAGTATTAGGTATATGTTAGGTCCATATATATTTGGACACAGACACAATTTTCATACTTTTTGCTCTGTATACCACCAGAATAAATTAAAACGAAACAAAATGAATTTGAAGTGCAGAATTTCAGCTTTAAGTCAAGGGGTTGAACAATATAAAGTATAAATTTTAGGAACTGCAACCATTTTTATACACAGCCCCTCCATTTTCAGGGGCTCAAATGTAATTGGACAAATTAATATAATCATAAATAAAATGTTCATTTTTAATATGTTGAGAATCCTTTACTGGCAATGACTGTCTGAAGTCTGGAATCCATGGACATTACCAAAGACTGGGTTTCCTCCTTTCTGATGCTTTGCCAGGCTTTAACTGCAGCTGTCTTCAGTTGTTCTTTGTTTGAGGGTCTTTCTGCCTTTAGCAAGTGAAATGCATGCTCAATTGGGATGAGATCAGGTGATTGACTCAGCCATTGCATAATATTACACTTTTCCTTAAAAAGCTCCTAGGTTGCTTTTGCAGTGTGTTTTGGATCATTGTCCATCTGTACTGTGAAGCTCCATCCAATCAACTTTGCTACATTTGGCTGAATCTGGGCTGACAGTATATCTCTAAACACTGCAGAATTCATCTGGGCTGCTTCTGTCACATCATCAATAAACACCAATGACACAGTGCCACAGGAAGCCATGCATGACTATGCCATCACACTGCCTCCACCATGTTTTACAGATGATGTTGTGTGCTTTGGATCATGAGCTGTTCCAAGCCTTCTCCACACTTTTTTCTTCCTGTCATTCTGGTACAGATTAATCTTAGTTTCATCCGTCCAAAGAATGCTTTTCCAGAACTGGTTTGGCTTTTTTAGATTTTTTTGTCAAAGTCTAATCTGGCTTTTCTATTCTTCAGGCCTATAAATGGTTTGTTCCTTGTGGTGAACCCTATGCATTTGCGCTCGTGAAGTTTTCTCTTGATTGTAGACTTTGACAATGATACGCTCACCTCCTGGATAGTGTACTTTACTTGTCTGGATGTTGTGAATGGGGTTTTCTTTACCATAGAGAGGATCCTGCGATCATCCACCACTGATATCTTCTGTTGACATCCATGCCTTTTTATGTTGCGGAGCTCACCAGTGCATTCTTATTTTCTCAGAATGTACCAAACTGTTGATTTGGCCACTCCTAATGTTGCTGCTATCTCTCTGATGGTTTTTGTTTAGTTTTTGAAGCCTTACAATGGCCTGTTCCACTTGCATGGACAGCTCCTTTGAACGCATGATGTAGGTTCACAGCAATAGATTCCAAAAGCAAATACCACACTTAGAATCAACTCAAGATCTTTCACCTGCTTAATTGATGAAGAAATAAAGGAGTAGCCCACACCTGGCCACGAAACAGCTTTTGATTCAATTGTACAATTACTTTTGATCCCTTGAAAAAGGGGGGATGGCTATTCTTAAGAGCTGTAATTCCTAAACCCTTCCTCAAATTTGGATGTACATACCCTGAAATTAAACCTGAGTGTGCACTTTCAGCCCATATCTAATATATAACTATAGCTTGAATATGTTTTGGTAAATACCGGAAAAAAACTAAAATTGTGCCTGTGTCCAAATATATATGGACCTAACATACCTTGAGAGCCCAAGCCAGCCGCTCCCACCCCTTCCACAGCCCAGCAGCACTCCAGTGAGTGCTGGAGGAAGTAACCTTTGTCCTGGAAACAGATTACATGCAAATGGCTGTGAATAGTTGCAGGCACTGCCAGGCTCACATTGCTTTCAGTGTGGCTTCCCACCTGTGGCTCACATTGCGAAATCTCCTGCAGGAAATTGCAAATTGTTCCATTCACAATGGGTTTGCATCCCCATTGAAGATTTCCCCTTCCTGTACTAATAACATCTCAAAAATGTTGGACGTGTGCAACAGCAAACATTAATGTATATTGGTACAGGAAGGCTTGATAAGCCAGCATAAAGAGGCCATAAAAGAAACCATAATTATACAAACATGCTTGAACAATAGTGATCAAAAGGTTAAAATGATGAAAAAAGACAAGGTTATCATTTCACTATAATCAAAATTTATTCTTTTTTTCCTTGGAACAAAGAACTTGAGGAACAATGATTTTAAATAAACACTGAAAAAAAATCTACACAAGTCCTCATTTGCATCTACTTTACCACCACTTTAACACAGTATGTGAATCCAAAAGCTTCAGCTCTCTTCGGTGCAGCTCAATGTTTCCTCAAATATGCAGATGTACAAGAAGTGCAAAACATCATTGTTCTATCAAGAAACTGTCCAGCCTTCAGTCTCTATACACTGCGAACACTCAAAAGCTTACGGAGTATGCTGTGGATAGCAGTGTAAAGGGATTGCATCACTCAAACTTCAAATACACACTAAAAAAAAAAAAAAATTAAAAAAATACAAAAAAAAATATGTAACAAAATGATATAAAGCATTTAATGGACAGCTTATGTGGGTCACAACTAGACTGGCTTGCAATGTGCTATTTCCTCAGGGAAGCAGGTCCCTGATTCATGTAAAGAATGCGAACATGCAACAAAAGCCTCACCCCACCAGTTTGATACAGATGCCCTTCAAACAAAATATGATGATGTCATAAGGCAAAACAGTACGCTGGCTAGGATAGATCTGGCCAGAGAAATCACTGAAATACAATTTTGGGCAAAATATGTACAGGATCAGTATGGAAAACAGGTGCCCGAATGTTAACAGAGGTAATTATTGCTTTCCAGACACAGGGCTTCACTTAACGTAGTGCAAATAGTTATGCTGTGCTTTTACCCACAGCAACTGATTTTCTGCAATTTATTGAGTCAACGACCATGTTTTTATTGGTTGGTATAGAGTACTAGGCTCTGAATGGTGCTCTTAGCTGTATTTCAGGCTAGCTCACCCAATCTTACTACTTTGGCTATATATAAATGCTGGTGGGCTGAATTCCCCACTGGCTTCTCACAGAACCTCTGGTCAGACCTACCAGCTGGAGATTCCTGTCTCTGTCACCCAAGCAATACAGTTTGTCTATTTTTTGTAGCAAAAGAAATCCGAACATTTGCCACCGTCATCTCTGCCATTTAAAATGAACAAGGAATCAAACAAGGACTGTTGATACCCATTTTAAATGATCATGGCAGTTGGGTGGGTTTGGGAATTGTACTCATCACTGGAAGTCTCTGAAAGTGAGAAGAAGCAGGTGAGAGATTCCAACGAACAGCAAATAATAATTTTTGGTAGTCTGAGGTTTTAAATAGGGAGTTCTCTGGCACATGTTAAGCTTAAAACCATCAAAGGTTCAAGCTTCTACGAGAGTCCTATTCACTAGCCAGGATGGAAACATGGGAGGCGACAGAGATGGCATAGCAATACACTGACACATACTCTTAAAGGCTTATGCATATCTTGTTCACTTCTTTTAAGTGCATGTACAGAACCAAAAACACGCCCAGTTCACCACAAATTCACGGGAAACCAGACATCAGGGTTGAGAACAATAAATACAAACAGTTATATGAATAATATACAGCATGCATTTACATTTTGCAATTTTTTTTAGCTGTTATACAAGTATAGATTAAAAAAAAAATAATTAACAAAAAATAAATTTAAATACAACTAGATCCAACTGTATTAAGCATACAACCCAACAGTAGACATGTTTGAAAGCTAATAAATTAAGACTGTGTACAGCTCTTCAATGCGGCAAATATAACCTCACTTTGTTTTTATACATTTAAATAGCTATTTACATTATTTACGGTGATTCTTTCATTCTGCTCATCATACATGCATTAAAAAGATACTAAATATGTTACAAAATGACTTAGCAATTTTTATTTTTATGTGGAGTAAGAAAATAGTTAAACGCGTGAGCTTTCTAAATGGCATTTCTACCATTTGTAGAAACAAAAAAAGGAAAAGGGGGGAAAAAAAAAACAAACAAAAAACTACACTAAAGGGGGGGGGGGACCTCACCAGGAGGAATTATGGAGGCAAAGGCTAAAGTGAAGTACAGCATTGTGATTAGCAAGGGTCCCAGATGGGACAAATTAGTAATGATCTTTAAGAGCATGGCTAGCCATAGGGAGCAATCAAACAGTCTACTTTTGGTTCAGCAGTAACAGCTAGGAAGACAATCCACCCTTTTAACCTTTGCTAATACACATTAGATCAGCCATTTTTTCAGCTTGTGCCAATATTTATGACAATGCATCCTATGTACTATGAACCAGTCATTGGTCCTTTTGTACTTGGCTTGCATTTACATATATACTGTTTCAACCAAGAAAACGGCTGATTCCAACAACTAGTACACTTAAATATTGCTTCTCTTGCTGTTTACAGCATATTCACATACAGGATACCAGCAAGTGAAGATTACACTTACTCTGCAGCAATGCTACGAGGTAGCAAACAATGTGTAAGAAATCCAGTAAGGGAGCTACTGGTTTTCATATAAAAAAAAAAATGGAAAAAAAAAAATGGTAAATTGATACACATTAATATTGTTGTATTAGGGCTCAGATTATAATCGCAAGAAAAAAATGACTGCCTTAATTTTTCACAGAAACTGCATCCAACTCCACATATTTTCAGAAAAAGCACAATGTTTCCCCCCACTTCCATAGAGTTTACTGCAGAGTACGTATAACATCTTGAAATTATCTCTTTTTTAAAAAAATAAAAAGAAATAAATTCAATATTGCCCCATATGGACTAGATTACAAACATGTTAAGTCTTCACAGATGCAAGTGCCATGCAAAATAATTTAAAGATCAGACAGCAAAACATACATGTAAAAACTATTCAAAAAAGGTAGGTTTTTGTTTTTTTGTCTTTTTTAAAAGCATTCGTATAAACAATTTATAATACTTTTTTTCCCCATTTTTGAATTTTTTCTGGTTTATATACAGTCATAAATTGAAAACTATACATCTAGAATTTCTTCAGCTGTGCCTCCACATCTTAACCTATACCGTCCCGTCCTCCAACTGATCGTGGGATCCCAAAGGGCAGATAGAAAAATATATATCGTCATAGATTCACGAATGAACCAAGCCACTGCATAGTCCAATTTTGAAAAAGAAAGCGAACCTCCCTAAAATAAAAAACAAAACAAATGGTTAATAAGTCGTCTCAAAGTATATCTATACCCATACCTTCTCTTAGTTGTGGATAGAATGGGGTAAGGTTAGAACCTCTGACAGGTTTTACGACTATCCAGGGTTCCATTAAAGAGATTTCCCATCACTTCCTGTTCTGGAGATTATTTTTTTTACCAGATAGAAAGTGAAAGAAAACCTGCAACAAGGAAACTGATAATAAAAAGCTCAGATGAGGTTCTAGCATTCCCTTACTAAATATTACTCCCTGCTTTACAATATCAATATTAAACATCAGCTGTTCAGAAAATATCCTGGAACTTTTCCATGGCAACTCACACCAGCTTTTTGTTCTTAATGGCAACTCTAACCTAACCCATCTTTAACCTCTTGCCGACCGCGCATAGCCGAATGACGGCTTCACCGCGGCCGGCCAGTTCTGAGTGGACGTCATATGACGTCCTCCCAGAATGCGCTCTCCTGCGCGCCCCAGGGGGCGCGCACCCGGCGATCTCCGTGATCGCTGTGTCCTACGGACACAGCTGATCACGTGATGTGGTGAAAGGCCGATCCCACCGGCCTTTTACCACGTGATCAGCGGTGTCCAATGACACGCTGATCACAGGGAAATGCAAGTGCCGGTTCTCGGCTGCACTTTCCTCACGCTGTCAGATCGTGAGGAAAGTACTGCCGAGAACCGGCAGTTGGTCAGAGCGGGGATCGGCACCGATCATCAGGGCACTGATGATCAGTGCCCTGATGATCGGTGCCCAGCAGTGACACCCGCAAGTTCCGCCCAGCAGTGCGCCCACTAGCCCCGCCCACCCGTTCCCAGCAGTGCCCCCACCTGTGCCCAGCAGTGCACCCACCTGTGCCCTCTGCAGTGCCCCCTACCTGTGCCACTCTGCAGTGCCACCTACATGTGCCCAGCAGTGCCACCCACCTGTGCCCACCAGTGCCACCCACCTGTGCCCACCAGTGCCACCCACCTGTGCCCACCAGTGCCACCCACCTGTGCTGCCCACCCCACCCACCTGTGCTGCCCACCAGTGCCACCCACCTGTGCTGCCCACCAGTGCCACCCACCTGTGCTGCCAGTCAGTGCCACCAGTCAGTGCCCAGGGGTTGTGCCAGTCAGTGCCGCCAGTCAGTGCCCAGGGGTTGATGCCAGTCAGTGCCGTCTATCAGTACCCATCATCAGTGTCACCTATCCGTGCCGCCTATCAGTGCTGCATATCAGTGCCGCCTATCCGTGCCCCTATTAGTGCTGTCTATCAGTGCCGCCTATCCTGCCCCTTTACTGCCTGCCCTTTAGTGCCCATATCAGTGCCGCCTATCAGTGCCCATCAGTGCCGCCTCATCAAACGCAAATCAGTGAAGGAGAAAAAATACCTGTTTGAAAAATTTATAAAAGAAACAAAAGAAACTTTTTTTTTTTTCAAATTTTTTGCACTTTTTTTTAATTTATAGCGCAAAAAGTAAAGCGCCCAGTGGCGATTAAATACCACCAAAAGAAAGCTCTATTTGTGAGAAAAAAATGATCAAAATTTCATATGGGTACAATGTTGCATGACCGCGCAATTGTCAATCAAAGTGCGGCAGCGCTGAAAGCTGAAAATTGGCCTGGTAAGGAAGGGGGTATAAGTGCCTGGAAGGCAAGTGGTTAAACTACTTAAAATCCAAATGGCCTGGACTTGGACGAATGGTTACAACAAGCTCATGGCTGCAAAATATTTTTTCAGCCAGTGAATACCTTTACAGTAGAAAGAACAATGAAAAAACTTAATGAAAAGGGGTTAAAATAAACTGTAAAAGAAAAAAATAAATAAATGTAAAAGCAACCCACTACCCCATACTCGCATGCAAAATGCAAGCATAGCACACACGCGTATATAACCATCAGCTGCATCACATATGAGGTATCACCTAAAATTTATTGAAAGCAATCATTCTAGGCTCATAATTCAGGGTTAACTTTAAATTGTAATGGCTTTTAAAATATTGCCTCTGGGCAAATTTGGGTATCTTAGTTTTTTGCCTTTTCACAGGCAAGTGCAAATTTTAAGCTTGACATGTTTGGTATTCATTTACTTGGCACAACACCATCTTTTATATTTTACAAATAAATGGGTATAATTTTGTGTTTGTATGCATTAAAATTAATTTTAGTGTGTTTTTTCCCGAAATCTGTATTCGATAAACAGTTGCTCAAATATCTTGCAACAGCTACGTTTTTATTCTACAGGTCCTCTGCTTTCAGAAAAAATATAACGGTTTCAGGGTTCAAAGTAATCTTCCAACAAAAATGCAGAGTTTGCCATGTGTGAAAAATTAAAAAAAATGCCCTGACAAATGGTTAAAGCAGCAAGTTACAGAAATGCCACCAATGTACATACCCAAATTAGTTCAAATTCACTGAAAGAGTATATATTGCAAGTTCACATTTAACCTCACAGCTCAAGTAAAATAAATTTACATGCATTATAGTAACAGATTATGACAACTCTTAGGGCTCATTCACACCAGGCTAAAATATATGTGGGCTGGTATTTGTGTTGTTTTTTTATTTTATTGAACTGTCACAAAATACTGAATCGTTTAATCATTTAATTTTGACATACGGTGCATTGAGCTGAGCTTTGTAAAAATGCAGCATGTCTAAATTTTTAAGCCATGACCCACCTTAATGCAGCACTGTGGTGTGAACAGGGTACATAAACTAATTTCTATGTGCCCTTGTGTTGAGTCTGCATGGATCTATACAGATCAACATTGCTCAACTGGGAGTGTGAATGAGTGCTTAGGGCTCAAAGAACAATGGGAAACACTAAACTTAATTATCCAGGAAAAAAAATAAGCTTTTCAAAAGCTGTTTCCCCAAACAAAAGTTGTAGCAAAAAACCTCAGGAGAATGCATTTAAAGTTATTGTACAAAACACATATAATTAAACCAAGTGAGCCATGCCACAAAACACCATACAAAGAATATTGTACTGTTCTCCTTCAGCATACATCATTTTTAACACAAGCCAAACCTACAGTGAAAGGGAGGGTATGTGCAACATGTCATAATAAAAACAACAAACAAAATCTATTAACTTTTGTGTAAAAAAATACAGTTGATATTTACAAATGTTACATTGCAAAAGTTGGTAGTATAAACTAAAAAAGGTGAGAAGGTTGTTGAATGCAAATGCAGCAAAACTAAGAGGTTTGTTTTCTCTAAAAACCTCTGCGAATCAAGTCTTTGCTCAGATAGTTGTAATAGCCAAGCAACATCACTTGGGAAAGTGATTACATCATGAGACTACATATCAGCATAAACATAAGTGAGAAATCCATGGGACCAGCCATAACTTTATGACTACCCATCAAAGCAAGGACACCACTAGATCTCTGAATGTATGCTGTGGTATCTGGCACCAAGCTGTCAGTAGCAGACTCTAAGACCTGTACATTGTGAGGTGGGGCCTCCATGGATCAGACTTGTTTTCCCGACACATCCCACAGATGCTTGATTGAACAAAGATCTTAAGAATTTGGAGGACAAGCCAGCACCTCAAACTTCTTGTGTTCTTCAAACCATTTTTTAATTCATCAGACCAGGTCTTGCATTGCTCTGCGGTCCAGTTCGGATGACCACATTTCCATTGTAGGTGCATCTGGCTGTGGACACGGGTCAGCATGGATATTCTGACCGGTCTAACTATGCAGACCCCATATGCAACAAATTGTGATGCACTGTGTGTTTTGACACCTATTGGAGCCAGCAATAACTTTTTCAGCAATCTTACCTACAGTAGCTCTTCTATTTGATCTAACTACAAGAACCAGCCTTCACTCCCATGTGCATTAATGAGCCTTGGCCGCCCATGACCCAGTCACCAAATTTGCCAGTTTTCCTTCATTGGGCCACTTTAGGTCCTTACCGCTATAGATGGGGAACATCCCAAAAGAGTTTCAGTTTCGGAGTTGCTCTGACCCAGTTGTCTAGCCTCTACAATTTGACCCTTGTCAAAGTCGCTCAAATCATTACCCTTGCTCATTTTTTCTGCTTTCAATACATCAACTTGGTGGACAACATGTTCACGTGCTGCCTAATATATCCCACCCACTTTCAGAAGCCATTGCAACAAGATAGTCAATGCTATTCACTTTACCTGTCAGTGGTCATAATGTTATGGCTTACCAGTGTATATACCGCATTACATTAAAGAGGAGTTCCACTCACTCTGTAAAAAAAAAAAGTCAGCAGCTACAAAAACTGTAGCTGCTGCCTTCTAAATTATAGCCATTTACCTGTCCCACGATCCCACGTTGCCCCCACCGCAGCCCGTTTCACCAGCTGTCCTGTGTTCCAGATGCTAGCATTTTCAGTGTGGGCACCCGGCTGTGACTGCTTGTGACTTCACAGCCAGGTGCCCACTGCGCATGCACGAGTAGTGCTGAATGGTCCCGTAGTCTTCTTGGACCTGTCACGTGTCCCACAAGACTACAGAGAGGGAGGGTAGGAGGACAACTTCTGCTTCTGATCGCCTAGGCGGAAGTACCTGTCAAGTTTGGGTACCCGTTCCCCCCCCCGCTCCCCAAAGGTGCCAATCCTTAATGGGGAGCGGGGGACCAATCTTTAAAGCGGAACTTCCCCTTTTGCGTGGAACTCCGCTTTAACAATACAGTTCAGTCTAGTCTGTATTCAATCTAGTCTGTATTTCATATCCTGACTATAAGGGCTAGTTAACAACATAAAAAAAAAAAAAAATGTACTCAGGACGTGTTTCTGTTTATAGTTCACACTACACTCTGTTCCGTTGCATTTTTGAAACGTTTTGCTGTGTTCCAGTACAGTTCTGTGCAGAACAAATGTAGCATGTTCTACATTTTTCTGCATCAGAAACGCACTGGAACTTACTGCACAGGTGTGAACTAGGGCCATTGGAATACATGGAAAACACTGTGCACGCATTTTTCATACAGAAAAAAACTGCACTGAACTGCATCTGGTGTGAACTAGCCCTAAGGGCGGTTCACACTATAGAAACGCAGTCCAGATGTGTTCCGGATGCATTTTGACACAATCAGGCACGGTTTTGATACGTTCCAGTGTGTTTTTTTTATGCATTCTAGTTAATTTTTTCCCCTCTCTTTTGCTTTAATTTCAATAGAGACATGTGCATTGCAGTGTGCTTTTGGTGTATTTTAACACATCCCAGTACAGTTCTGTGCAGAAAAAATGCAGCATCTTCTACTTTTTCTGCAACCAGAACGCACTGGAACTGCAAGCACTAATTTGAACTATGACATTGACAACCATATAACCTGCTTTCTGCGCATTTTGGATGCAGAAAAAAAAGCAACTGAAATGCATGTAGTGTGAACTGGCCCTAAAAGTACATAGATGTTTAAATGGCCAGGCTTTCCTATTTAATTCCAATCAGAGGATATTTCAGAATCTATAAAGATTGAGGTAACTTGTTATATACATAATATTCAAGAACTTGTAGAAACCTGTACCTGTCCTATGCATGTTATAAATATACATAGCGCTGACTCAAGCAAATGTGTAGCCAAAGAGATTGGTAAACCTCACCTGAACACCTCGGAGCTGAATATAGTCAAATATAAACCATGCTAGACAATGACACATAAAAAACACCATGATATCCCATCGAAAGATATGATGTGCCGCCCAGCCGATTATTAAACTGGCTACAAAACATTCAGATATGGGCTCGCATATGATTGTAGCAGGAACCATATTGATCCTTAGCTTAGTCCACCTGGAAAAAAAAACCCAAAAAACAAATATTACATTTATACAGTTTTTAATGCTGATATATTGACATTAAGGCTCTTTATGAAAAAAAAAAAAAATTCTCCCCCATTACAGCAGGTCCTCCAATAACTTCCTACCCATGATTGCTGCTGGTCAAAAACGATGTACAATCCCAGCCATCAGTAAAAAAAAAAAAAAAAAAAAGTGTCCACCAAAGATACTAGAGGAACTTCACTTCAGTATAGCCAAGATAAAATTATAACTAGTTGCTTCCTTTTAAAACTAAATTATATTAAAGTGGAAGTTTAGTTTTTTTTAATACAGTCAGGTCCATAAATATTGGGACATGGACACACTTCTAACATTTTTGGCTCTATACACCACCACAATGGATTTGAAATTAAACTAACAAGATGTGCTTTAACTGCAGACTGTCAGCTTTAATTTGAGGGTATTTACATCCAAATCAGGTGAACGGTGTAGGAATTACAACAGTTTGCATATGTGCCTCCCACTTGTTAAGGGACCAAAAGTAATGGGACAATTGGCTTCTCAGCTGTTCCATGGCCAGGTGTGTGTTATTCCCTCATTATCCCAATTACAATGAGCAGATAAAAGGTCCAGAGTTCATTTCAAGTGTGCTATTTGCATTTGGAATCTGTTGCTGTCAACTCTCAAGATGAGATCCAAAGAGCTGTCACTATCAGTGAAGCAAGCCATCATTAGGCTGAAAAAAAAAAAAAACAAACCCATCAGAGAGATGGCAAAAACATTAGGCGTGGCCAAAACAAATGTTTGGAACATTCTTAAAAATAAGGAACACATCGGTGAGCTCAGTAACACCAAAAGACCCGAAAGACCACGGAAAACAACTGTGGTGGATGACCGAAGAATTCTTTCCCTGGTGAAGAAAACACCCTTCACAACAGTTGGCCAGATCAAGAACACTCTCCAGGAGGTAGGTGTATGTGTGTCAAAGTCAACAATCAAGAGAAGACTTCACCAGAGTGAATACAGAGGGTTCACCACAAGATGGAAACCACTGGTAAGCCTCAAAAACAGGAAGGCCAGATTAGAGTTTGCCAAACGACATCTAAAAAAGCCTTCACAGTTCTGGAACAACATCCTATGGACAGATGAGACCAAGATCAACTTGTACCAGAGTGATGGGAAGAGAAGAGTATGGAGAAGGAAAGGAACTGCTCATGATCCTAAGCATACCACCTCATCAGTGAAGCATGGTGGTGGTAGTGTCATGGCGTGGGCATGTATGGCTGCCAATGGAACTGGTTCTCTTGTATTTATTGATGATGTGACTGCTGACAATATCAGCAGGATGAATTCTGAAGTGTTTCGGGCAATATTATCTGCTCATATTCAGCCAAATGCTTCACAACTCATTGGACGCCGCTTCACAGTGCAGATGGACAATGACCCAAAGCATACTGCAAAAGCAACCAGAGTTTTTTTAAGGGAAAGAAGTGGAATGTTATGCAATGGCCAAGTCAGTGACCTGACCTGAATCCGATTGAGCATGCATTTCACTTGCTGAAGACAAAACTGAAGGGAAAATGCCCCAAGAACAAGCAGGAACTGAAGACAGTTGCAGTAGAGGCCTGGCAGAGCATCACCAGGGATGAAACCCAGCGTCTGGTGATGTCTATGCGTTCCAGACTTCAGGCTGTAATTGACTGCAAAGGATTTGCAACCAAGTATTAAAAAGTGAAAGTTTGATTTATGATTATTATTCTGTCCCATTACTTTTGGTCCCTTAACAAGTGGGAGGCACATATGCAAACTGTTGTAATTCCTACACCGTTCACCTGATTTGGATGTAAATACCCTCAAATTAAAGCTGACAGTCTGCAGTTAAAGCACATCTTGTTCGTTTCATTTCAAATCCATTGTGGTGGTGTATAGAGCCAAAAATGTTAGAATTGTGTCGATGTCCCAATATATATGGACCTGACTGTATATATACACGTTTTTGATGCAGTCACAAAAGGTTAAAATCTGTCAGGATTTTATAGCTGTGTGTGTGATATTTGGGGAACGTCATCACACTTCCTATCCTAGTCTTGTAGCTATTATGGGGGTCGGAAGATGAGGGTAACTCAGCAGAAATAGTTTTGTATAGTTGAGTGTGTTTGCACCATTAGAGATTTCCTTTCATTGGCATTCCAGTTCAAATTATCTGGGTAACCATTGTTACTAGAACCGAAACTTGACAAAGAAAAAAAAAATAAAGAAATATGAACACTTCCACAATCAAACCAAAACAAGAAAAACAAATTGTGGCTAGTTACATTTTTATAGCTGTGGTAGAGGTATTTCAGTACCGCTTTGACAAACCTTGTGGAAAAGAAAAACAAAAAAAAAAACTGAACTGTCTGCAGAAAGCTAAAGTGATTTTTCACTTCTGCTTTTAGACTTTTTTGGGGGGAGAATTCTCACTGTGAAAATTGTTTTTCTGCTAGCCAAATCTAGAACAGATCTGAGAATATGGATGGATAGAGTCAAACTCTTCTACACTGAACATTCAAAAACTATTTTCAATATAAAAGGAACCAGACCTTTTGGCGGGTATTGTATAGACTATTCACAGGCCTTTTACTTTCAGGAGATAGATGGCTTTAATCAATGCCTTACATAACATTTAAAAAAACGTGACTGTCAAATATCAGTCTTTGAAAGCAGACAAAAGAAAAAAAAAATCCAAGACATATTTACCTAATCATCCTAGATTGAAACTGAGATATGGAGTAGCAACCAGAATTTTGCATTGCGACCTGTGTAGCCATAGAAAATTTCCATCCCCTGTACATGAAAGAAAAAAAAAAAAAAAAAAAGAAAAAGCCATCAAATAACTGAAGTTTATCACAGCATATTAGTCTAATACCAAAAAGTACCCACAACTGAGCTTTTTGTGCCCTGCTTTTTATACGAGCAAGCAAGGTAAGGTGAGAATGTGCCAGAAATGACAAAGTGCTTTTGAAGTTTGTTTTTTTTTTTTAAAAACTTTAGTGTGCAGTTTCCCCCTCAGCCCCCCTAATACTTACCTTAGCCCGATCCAGTGTTGTACATGAGAGCATCAGCTCTCCCGGGTCTCCAACTCCTTACTGGCTCAGACACAGTAATCATAGCTATTGAGGAGGGAGGGAAGACGAGCCGCGCCCTGTGTGTCTTATGGACATACAGGGCCGGCTTGCTGTGGGGGCACACGCCAGGAGGCAGGGTACCTGAGAAGAAGAGGATCAGGGCTGCTCTGTGCAAATCCACTGCGCAGAGCAGGTACATGTAAAATGTTTTTTTTTTTTAAATTCTGTGCCGCCCTATAGCAGAAACACTGCTACAGAGTGGCACGGGTGCGCAAAATCACGTACATATACACGTGATTTTGCAGCTCCAGGTAGGCCATTAACGTCCTCAGCTGTCAATCACTGGGTCCCGGCCGGCACCCGGCGATCTCCCAAGTATTACCGATGGGGGAGAGCCATACAAAGCAGCATGCTTACAGTGTACAAAGATAATTTTTATTGTAGCCTAAATATGCACTCACAAGAAAGGTGTCCAACCGACACCAACAATATCAGCAATATCAGTCTCAAAAAGCTAAAACAGGGACGAGCCTCGCTCACCGCGATCACAGCTAACAGTCTCGAGGAGCGTGCTGACGTCACATCTACTAAGCCCCACCCTACGCGTTTCGTCATCCGACGTCTTCAAGGGGTGGATGACGAAACCTTGAAGACGTTGGATGATGAAACGTGTAGGGCTGGGCTTAGTGGATGCGTCGTCAGGACGCTCATCGAGACGGTCAGCTGTGATCGCAGCGAGCGAGGCTCGTCCCCGTTTTAGCTTTTTGAGACTGATATTGCTGATATTGCTGGTGTTGGTTGGACACCTTTCTTGTGAGTGCATATTTAAGGCTACAATTAAAATTATCTTTCTTTTAATATACTGCACCATGATACTCTTCTTTGATTCCCCGAGCATTTCCAAAGTTATGAAGGCATGATGACCACTTGCAGTTAAGGCTGTTCCATGTGTGCTGATTTGGCTGATTGCAGTCTATTGCTCCTGGATACTCCAACAGATCATCGCTCCCAGAGCAATTGCTATTTTTGCTGATTTATAATTTGATCAGCAAATAGCTCTGGTGAGTTTACCCATTTCATTCGGTGGTGGATTTTGCTACACGGGTTTTTTTCTTGTTTGAAGAGATTTTTTCAATCACTTATATTGGTGTTTGGACTTGTATATGAATTACGGACATTTATAGATATATTTTTTATTTTACTTATGTATTTATTTGCATTTTCATGTGATTTGGTATTTAACGCATTCCTTTATATATTTTTTAGCACAAAAAATGGCCTGGTCAGGAAGGGGGGAAAATCCTCTAGAGGGCAAGTGGTTAAGTGTTTAGTATCACTTTAATACCCTGCCCTCTGCTGTAACCAACAGTACAGGACATTTTGAAAGGTTATAGAAGTAGGGAATCTATATTACAAAATCTAATAATGGTTTGTCAGAGTTGGGGCTTACCTCTAGGGGAAATAATTTTAGTTTTTCCCCAAAGCAGCACAAGGCCTAGAAAGAACTCGGGCAAGGATTGTTGAACGTAGTGTAAAAATTATGTTAAGGTGGTAGTAAACTCCAGATTTTTATTTTTACCTACAGGTAACCTTATAATAAAGTTTACCTGTAGATAAAATTAATATCTCCTAAACATGAACCTTTTAGGAGATATTTGCTTTTATTTGACTGCTGGAGCATGCGCCGTGCCTAGGACCCCTGAACACATTCGTGGGACTGACATAATCACGGCTCAGACAGGCAGGCATCCGGAAATAGCGAATCCGGAAGGAAGACTGGGTGAAGATGGAAGCCTCTGCAGCGGTGACAGCGCTGGAGGGCTTCTTTCTAAAGTAAGTCCTTACTTTAGAAACCTTGCAGGGGAAAATTTTTTATTTTTTTCTTTTAAGTGCGGTTTACTACTGCTTTAAGAGCAGTCACCAATATCAGCCCATGGTAAACACAAGTGTACTGAGGTCTATAAATGAAAAGCATCCGATAGCCACTACCTACCGATCTGCAATTGCTTTGGCCATGAAATAATCTTCAGCTATGTATTGGGCAAACGCAATAAGGCCTCCTGCTTGATCCAGAACCTCTTTTCTCATCAAACAAGACATACCAGTAACACACTTGAAACCAGTCACATTAGCAGAAATGTAAGACCTTGGATGGGAAGTCCCAAAATAAACCTAGGATGTGAGAATAAGAGAACAAAATTAACAGAAAAGCAGAAATGTGTTAACAATGTCTGTTAGTATGTAAAGAATACAATGCGTTAAACAAAAGACTTCATATTCTCAATTTCCGTGTCCATCCAAAGTTTACAGTAAAACAAATACAGTACAGTTTTACACACACACACACACACACACACACACACACACACACACACACATCATGAGACATCAAAATAAAATGTTTGTGTTTTATAGACAAGAATGTACACTGCTCAAAAAAAAAATAAGGAACACTTTTTAATCAGAGTATAGAATCAAGTCAATTAAACTCCTGGGATGTTGATCTGGTCAGTTAAGTAGCAGAGGGGGTTGTTAATTAGTTTCAGCTGCTTTGGTGCTAATGAAATTAACAAGTGCACTAGATGGGCAACAATGAAAAGATCCCCAAAACAGGAATGGTTTTACAGGTGAAGGCCACTGACATTTTTTTCCCTACTCATCTTTTCTGTCCGTTTTTCACTAGTTTTGCATTTGGCTAGGGTCAGTGTCACTACTGGTATCATGAGGTGATACCTGGACCCTACAGAGGTTGCACAGGCAGTCCAACTCCTCCAGGATGGCACATCAATACATGCCATTGCCAGAAGGTTTACTGTGTCTCCCAACACTGTCTTAAGAGCATGGAGGAGATTCCAGGAGACAAGCAGCTACTGTAGGAGAGCTGGACAGGGCCGTAGAAGGTCCTTAACCCATCAGCAGGACTGGTATCTGCACCTTTGTGCAAGGAGGAACAGGATGAGCACTGCCAGAGCCCAACAAAATGACCTCCAGCAGGCCACTGGTGTGGAAGTCTCTGACCAAACAATCAGAAACAGACTTCATGAGGGTGGTCTGAGGGCCCGACATCCTCTAGTGGGCCCTGTGCTCACTGCCTGGCACCACAGAGCTCAATTGGCATTTGCCACTGAACACTAGAATTGGCAGGTCCACCACTGGCCCTCTGTGCTTTTCACAGATGAGAGCAGGTTCACTCTGAGTACATGTGACAGACAGGAAAGGGTCTGGAGAAGCCGTGGAGAACATTAGGCTGCCTGTAACATTGTTCAGCATGCCATTTTTGGTGGTTGGGTCAGTGATGTTCTGGGGAGGCATATCCATGGAGGGATGCATAGACCTCTAGACATTGGCACCCTGACTGCCATTAGGTATCAAGATGAAATCCTTAGAACCATTGTCAGACCCTACGCTGGTGCAGTGGGTCCTGGGTTCCTCCTGGTGTATGACAATGCCTGGCCTTATGTGGCGAGAGAATGCGGGCATTTCCTGGAGGATGAAGGAATTGATACCATTGAATGGCCCCTGTGCTCGCCTGACCTAAATCCAATAGAACACCTCTGGGATATCATGTTTCAATCCATCCAACACCACCAGGTTGCACCTCAGACTGTCCAGGAGCTCAATGATGCCCTAGACCAGATCTGGGGGGAAATACACCATGACACGATCCGTTGTCTCATTAGGAGCATGCCCCGACATAGTCAGGCATGCATACAAGCAGGTGGGGGGGGGGGGGGGGGGGCTATACAAACTGCTGAGTACCATTTTGAGTTGCTGCAATGAAATTTCAGTTAAATGGACTAGCCTGCTGCATCATTTTTTCACTTTGATTTTCGGGGGGGGGGGGGGGGGGGTTTTGAAATCATTCCTCTGTAAGCTGATAATTTTCATTTCCATCAAACAATGGGGCATCCTTACGTTTCTAACACATTACCCAGTCCATATCAGTATAGATATCCAGCATAATATTTTCCCCACTGAGATCTGATATGTTTTCAAAGTATTCCTTAATTTGTTTGAGCAGTGTGTTATGGGCCTATTTCCATCTGTGTTGTGTGTTAACATGGATTGCATGCATTAAGTCAGTGCACACAATGTATGTTAGTGCGTTACAGCGTGTCTGTCCAGAATGCATGGCATCACAGCACACCAATGCACATAAGCTGTGTTTCACAACAGTGTGAATCCAGTCTGTGACAGAGATTATATTATGTCTTATATCCAAAGCTAATTTTTTGTTTCTGTGCTTTCAATGCTTAACACCTGTCGGGTTTTTTTACTTCTGCCCAAGCCCCTGCTGGGGATTCCACTTTTTATTTATCCTGGTAATCATTGTTACTGGGTCAGAAACGTGATGAGAAAACACGTTTCACAGGGGGAACAACTGCCTAAAGTTGATCCTTACATTATGCAGATTTGTACTGGTTCCTGATGAACTGGCCAAAATGTAGATGGCACTGTCTGGCCATTCAGGAAGACATCCTTTGTTTGAAAAGACGAAGGAACCAGACAGAAATGTTCTGGCTGAACTGAAGCTGTATGCAATCAGATGCTGACTGCACTGGTATTCTGACAGCCGCAGGGAAGGGTATTGCACATTTTGCCACATCACACAGTTCACCATTTACCATTGGACAAATTTATTTTAAGTACACAAAAGTGACACTTTCATTCTGCGCATCTGTCTGGTGGCAGGGGGTGCCATGTACTGAGGTGCAAAAAAATGCAGTATGTCTGCATTTTATCACACCTCAGTGCAATGCACCTCGGGGCACATAAAAAATAATAGTTTATATTAATTATGTTCCCTAGTGGTGATCTGCGTTTTTCTACTGCAGAAAAACACTACTCACTGGTGTGAAAGGGCCCTAGGAGGGTGGTTTCCCTTCACTTTCTGCTGTGTCTCTAGGATAGGTAGTGAAAGGAAATAATTAACACAGTAAACTCACAATAAAAAGCAATTTTAAACTATTATCTGCTCTATAAACATCAAAACACTATTGTTTAAAATCTAGAGCCATTCAACCAGAAATCTAACGATTCAAATACATTTTCTCAACACTGTAACAGAAGCAAGTGCTTTCCTACTTGTAAAAGAATAATGCATGATATACTGCAGATTTCATTTTCTTTAATAGAAAGTACAAACAAGTGCAGAAACCTGCAACAACCAAAAAGAATGCATCTTGTCCTCTGCGCTCCTCTCAATTTCCGACTGGTTTCTATTACTAGTTTATCAAATGAGACAAAAAAAAAAAAAAAATGGTTTGAAATGTTTTACTACTTTGTCCTATAAAATTGCTCCCTTTTAGAACTGCCTTTGCTGAAGATTTTTTTTAAAAAAAGGAACATAACAAATTTCCATAAATATGAAGAGGTTTGCTCCGAATTGCGCAGTGAATTATTTACTTCCAGGTTTCTCTGTTCCAGCTATATAAAACGTACATCATTACAGCTCCTGCTTACCTGAACTGACATAGGAGTGCTGAGAGGACACCAACAAGCTGGATTACCCTGCCAAATTTTCATTTCTCTCAGGCACCACAGCAGGAGCAATCTGCTCTCTTACTCTAGTCACGCACATTTCGACATCCTCATTTCAACTTTAGCAGCCCATATAAATAAAAAAAAAAAAAAAACTTTTCTCCAATTTTCTGTTTTACTCTCTGCAGGTATATAGGCTGCTGATCGCTTCCATAATATTAATGCAAGAGAGTAAAAGTGAAGATTCTAGCGGGTGAAATGCATGGTGGGTTAAGTGCATCACCTCCGCAAATCATTTTGTTCATTTCTCACAAAAAGGGACATGCAACGGATTTCAGTATTTTTTAGTAGAATCTGTGATAATCAAGTATAAAATCGGTGAAAAGGCCAACATGACTACCATGACAAGAGATACAACCAACAGGAAATCTACAAGAAAAGGGCTCCACTGAAGTGTAGTTAGTCACAACTAAAATATCAGTTGAAAAATGGCTCCAAGTTACATAGTTACGTGCATATAGACATGAAAACGCCATCTAAATGTTCCTTGTAGGTATGATTTCATCTACCAAAATATAGTCCAGCTGTACATATGGAATAAACACAAGACAGGTGTGCTAATATTACATTATTATATAGTACTAAAGTGGATGATGGAATATGTATCAGATTTTCAAAGTCACTACACACCCAACACACTCAGACAACCTCACATAACTTGTTCCTCATTCTTTCCTTCAGCAATGCTAGGCAATGATCTGTCACACTCTAATTTTAGCTTACCTGTTCTAATGTAGCAGCAAAGCCTTGCCTATCTGCTACATAAGGAAGTCCATGGACCAAGCCAACCTTCTCTGTCATCTGATTAGCCATATCAGTCAATGTGTCAGGTTTCACTGCCATTAAAAAAGTTAGAGAATGGTAATAGGTTAGCAAGAACAAAAACACTGCACACTAATATAAAAAGTAGGCTGAAATTTAACCATCGTCTAAATATTTAGATTTTTTTTTTTTTTTTTACTCATTTTACATTCCTACTTCTTCCCGACTCACATTGGAGGTAGCATGGCAATTCGCCCCAATTGAGGACACAATGGAAATGAAAACTTGATAAAAGGTTCTAACACTTCCCAGCTCTATTCAAAACCTAAAAAGTGTACCCAGGGACAGAAATGGAATTGCCATTGCTGTACTGGTTCAAGGGTTGTCATCCTGATATGGGCTTAATGTCTTATGCTGGCCATAGACGGATCGTTTATCGACCGATAAACGAAAAATCGGTCGTTGCTGCCACCAATGCTGACAAAAAACAGCCGTTTTTCGTAGATTTTCCAGCATGACCGATAAAAAAATGAGAAGATCCGCGAAAATCGGCCGACGACTAACGGTGTGAATATCAGACGATTTTTCGTTCGGATGAAAATTCGGCCGATAAACGACCCGTCTATGGCCTGCATTAGTGAGACACTAATCTAGAGCAAACAAGCAGTCAATAAAACCTTAGGCTCCATGCACATTGGGTGTTTTGAGAACACTGGTAACGGTAGCTGTGTAAAGTCACGTTAAAAAGGTAAGTTTTTCAGCTTTTTTTTTTTTTTAAAGAGTTTTTGCATTAACATTTAGTGGCGGTTTCCCACGTTTTTGGTTTTTAGTGGTTTTTTTGGTTTACCGCGATTTACTGCGTTAGAGCATTTTTACAGCTAAAAACCTCCTCTAGAAACCCACTAGTTCTAGGGGGGTTTTTTTCAGCCAAAAAACGTCCCTGCCAAAAAACATTGATTACAGTCTATGTGTACATGGACACATAAGATAACATGCTGTGGGGTTTACTAGCTGTAGAAAAAAAAAGTCAAAAACAGCAGCTGTAAAAACGTCCAGCGTGCATGAGGACTAAAAGTGTGAAACCAGTGATGAGAATGATAGTCACTGAGTCTGCAGATTTAAAAAAGTTCGACATTACAAGAAAACAGAGCATTGTAAAAAATACTGTTGATTTTGCCAGAAATCTTTTAAACCGGTAACTCCTGTAGTCTCTTCCTGTGCATAAGGAAAGGTTATGAAGATTGGGACGGAGATGAGGAGAGGTCTGTGTTCTTTGTAAAGCATCAGAAAAGTAGGCAAGGCTGATGCCAAGAGCTTTGGAACTCAAAACCAACACTGTTGTCCAGTCAAAGAGGAAGGTAGGAGCACATTATATTTCTGGCACATGAGCAAGTATTTGTATGCAACTGCATCATGGTTAAAAAGGAAAAAAAAAAAACATGAGGAAATGTGCATGCCCATCTTTACTTCTCAAACACTGATGATCTAAGATGCTCTTTTTATACCCAATCATCTTACTGACCTGTTACCAATTAACCTAATTAGTTGCAAAATGCTCTTACAGCCACTTGCTTTAACAGCCTTTTGTTGACCTGTTTCAACATTTTTGAGTCATGTTGCTTATATTCTCTTAAAATGGTATATTTTCTCAGTTTAAACATTTGATGCATTTTCTATTGTGAATAAAATATGGGCTCATGAGATGTGAAAAATACTGCATTCTTTTTTAGATTTGACACAGCGTCCCAACTTTTTTGGAATCTGGGTTGTACTAAACACTATTTTTTTTTTTAAATTGTGCCTTGACATTACTTTAACCAGCAGTGGACCGCCCCACCGCAGTATATATACATGGGGCGGTCCACTGCTGGTTAAAGTTATATCTGCCCTGGATCACGTACATGTATGTAAAACTAGCATTTCTGGGTACAGGGGGTGTGTGCCTGCCGCCCCATCTGTGCTCTAATTTGGGACAGCACAAGTTGGCCATCAAGTCCCAGCCAATGATTTATGGCCAGGGCCTGCTGATCTGCTTAGCAAAACACAACACAGGGCTTGCTATACGAAGTAAAGGAGTGGCTGTTTTTTTTTCTCCCTGCACAGAACACATTTCAAACCTTAAACTTGCCACACACAGTTAACCCTTTGATAGCCTCTAGATGTTAAACCCTTCCAAGCCAGTGTCATTAGTACAGAGACAGTGTATAGTATCACTGTATTAGTGTCACTGATGATGTCAGTGTCCGTTAGTGTCAGATCGCCTGCTGCACTTTTTACAGTCCCACTATAAGTTGCTGATCACAGCCATTATTCGTGTTAAAAAAAAAAAAAATCCATATATATATATATATATATATATATACACACACACACACACACACACACACACACACACACACACACACACACCATTGTTTGTAGACACTAATTTTCACACAAACTAATTGATATACACTAATTGGGATTGGGTAAAAAAAAAAAAAAAAAAACGAACAAAGACATGTAGCAGATATCATTTTGGCCTAAATGTATGAAGAAATTAGATTTTTTTTTTTTTTTTTATTGGATATGATTTTATAGCAAAGTATAATTTTTTAATAATAAAACAATGAAAAAATCCAGTGGTCATAAAATACCACCAAAAGAAAGCTCTATTTGTGTGAATGGAATCATATAAATTTCAATAGCGTACAGTGTTGCATGACAGTGCAATTGCCAGTTAAAGTAGCACCGTGCCGAAGACCAAAAAATGCTCTGGTCATGAAGGGAGTAAAATCTTCCAGAGCTTAAATGGTTAAGGTGGAATAGCATATGCTAATGTGTATTAGGGAATGGAGGAAGAATCCGCAATTAAAAACAGCATTTGTCTTTGCAAGCAGTATGAATCTGAAGCCAATACTTTTTTCTCCAGTAGAGGAAGCTTTAAACCGCTGTCAGATATTTTTTCTCCTCTTCATTTGTGTCTCATTATGGAGTTTTCCCATTCACTTCCTGTAATGTAGTTTTAACAGGAAGTGATAGGGTTATCTTCCCAATGTCAAGGAAATCCTCTTTTAGTTAGCCTTTAGGAGAATGATTGTCCCCACTGGAAGATTTTCCTTCTTTGGTTGCAGGAATGCAGCCAGAGAGAAGGAGAAATAATTGCTTTTATAGCCTTTATGGGTGTAAAAGCAATCAGTGTAAAAAAGAAAAAAAAAAAAAAAAAAAAAAAAATCATCATCACCCCCACAAGTAGTACAGTGTCACTATAGTAGTGTGTAAAAAAAATTACATTAAAAAAATACACAAATAGTATAAATAGAAATAAAAATGTAAAAATTTGGTTTGAAAATTTTAAATTTTTGGTTATAAAGGAATTTGGGTTATTGTTTTTTTACTAAAAAGATAGATTATTACATTTTGGCCAAGACTTATGAAGAAAGATTATTTGATACATTTTATAAGAAAAACACTTTTTAAATTTTTTTTTTTGATCTTTTTCATTGATATAGCAAAAAATAAAAATCCCAGTGGTGAATAAATACCACCAAAATAAAGTTATCGGTCTCAAAAAAATGAAAATGCTAAAAATTTATTATGGGTACAGTGTTGCATGACCACGCAATTCTCATTCAAAGTGTGATAGCACTGAAGGCTGAAAACTGGCCTGGACTGGAAGGGGGTGAAAGTGTCTGCACTTGAAGTGGTTAATGTGGATATAGACATGATTTTAACCCTTCACAGTTATTCAAATCTAAAAAGTTTTACTTCTACTGAGGGAACATCCTGTCAAAAAAGAAAGTATTACAGAATACTGGAAAGAATAGTATTTTTTCTGTCTGTAAAAGATACCTCTCACTCCTACTCTAATAATTCTGCTGTCTTATTTGTATGTTCTCACTTTTCACTGTAATATGCATAAAGGCCCTAGAGCATTCAAAGAAGAATGTTGACTGATGTTTGAATTTTGCATTGTCTACACATCAACCAAAATAACCAAGTCATGTTATGTACTAGGAGGATATGGAAGAATAAATAGTTCCAATCAAATCCCGCCGGCCCTATAACGCTCTTGATGAAAGAAAAAACCAGCAGAGCCAAAATGGGTTCTATGGGGATTCCAGTGATGATGTATAAATAGACGACTTTATATAAACAATGACAATTCTCACCATAGCCACTCAACATTTAGCCAAGGTGGCTTATTATACAGGACAAGACGATTGTTTTAGGCATTTAATATCCCATAAATTCATTGTTTCACTCATTAAAAATTTACACAATCAGAATTTCATGTCATGCTCTGCTGTCATCATGCATAATTGCACTGATAAGCATGGTAAGGATCATTAGAAGTGTAATATCATCAACATACCTTTAATCCCACTGTCACATATCCAGATGAGGTCATATTTAGCAAGTTCATATCCGGGCATTAGATTGTTTATCTTTGGATTAATGCCAACCTTTTTGCCACCTAAGATGTGAAATAAATAAAACAGTCAAATATGGTCAATGCTACATATGGAAGGACCAATAACAAACAGGTCATACAAAACAGACTGAAAACAAAAAAAAACAAACCTATAAAACATGAAGCCATGTTTGGGCCAGAAATTATAAAAGTGAATCTGACCCACACCAGTGGTATTTGGTAAATACTGGCGTCTATAAAGTCCATGGTAATTAAAGCGGAGAACCACTTTCACCACTAAGTGATATTTACAAGTACTGCAATTGATTTAATGCTTTCTCATCTGTAATCTATATAACAGCATTCCTCAGCAAGAGCATGTGTTTAACACCCTCCATTAAAAGCAGTAGCCGCCATATACTCTGGTCAGTTACAGCAAGCAAGAAGCATGATTCCTGATAATATGATCACAAGCCACGGCCAGCCAGCAGAACGGTCAATGGGCCTCACACACAGAGGGACTATGACAAAAGCAGGCAGCAGACTCTGGCCTAGTCACATGGGGGCAGAGGCCCATACAGTGCGAAATGTCATTTGTTTGGGTTTGGACCTATGTGCAGGCAACAAATGTTAGTCAATAGAGAAGCAGCAGCTGTATGGACTCACCTGCACTTTCTAGTTTGATAAGCATGCAGGGATGGGTGCACAACCCCAGATGCACACTGTCTGCGTTTGGGGCCTATGCACCCATTCCTGCGCACCCTCCAAATCTGGATGTGTAGTTGAGTTTGTACAGCCACTGCGTTTCCATTGACTAACACAGTCTACCTGCATGAAGCTCCGGAAACACATTAAAAAAATGTGCCTTGTGTGCCTCCCCTTCCTGCTTGGGCAAATAACCCTGCACTAAGATACAAGTCAGATTTTAGGCATGATCTGCAAAGAGAAAAATTAAAAAAAAAAAAAAACGAATGAAAAAAACACCACACATTTTTGCAGAGATACTCCCCTAAGGTTTAATCACTTTTAAAGGGATGCAGGTACTGCAACTTTTTTCATCCAAACACTCAAAGTGCATCAGCTGATTAAAATGAACTAGTCACTCCCATTCAGTGTCACTGTGCTCATGGTCTAACAATGTTCCTTTAGAGCAGGAATCTGCAACAAAGTTTGTTAAAATTCTTCCAATGTACACTGATCATCCAGAAGTGTGCCTAGTTATGTTTTAGGCATGCAAATTAGTCTGAGATATTGTCAATTTAACTAACACATATGGAGGCTGCTAAAATTTGACTTGACGATCTAGGCAACAATGACTCCTGGTCATAGTCAAATTAAAACACACATAATTTAGTGTACATGTAGTGCAGCTTATTCCAGCTAAAAGTAGTGATGGCAGAATTTTTCAGCATGCCAGAAAATTTTAAGGCAGATCTTGATCATTCCTTTTAGACATTTTCACTGCACCAGTCACAGTGGCACCAATGGCGAGTAGTGCATTATGACAATAGAACTGAAGACAGGTAGATCTTTAAGTTGACTTGGAGAGTGCAAAATTAAAATGTTGCAAGGCCACAATGAAAGCCTTCACACCGAATCTGAATAGTGTGTGGTGGTATTTGTATGCTACATTTTATCTTGGAGCGAAATAACCTCCATCTCTGCCAGCACCTGAATACAGAGCATGAACCCAGGAGACTGATACTGTTGGCATGCAGTGGCACCAATCTGTTATGGTAATCATAAGGCCACAGCTATACTACTGTTGTGCTAAACAGTACCCAGGCACAATCTTAAAGCTCATCTAAAACCAACACTTTTTTATTTGAATAGAGTGGGGGAAGTACAGATTGGTAAAAACCCATCTTTTTAAGGTCTGTATCACATTGAGGGAATTTCCAATCACTTTGTGTCCTGGACAACACACAAAGAAGAAGTGAGAAAACGGCTTTCATCAGAACAGTTGTTTTTATTTTTGCTTTAGATTGCTATGAATTGATCCCAATACAGTGAGCACTGTCAAAAAACTCAACAGTCCATGTACCCGTGATGTATATGGAACAAATCAAGAAGGAGGAAAGCAGGAACGAAAACTTATTAAAAATGTTTTAACGTGCCCCAATTTTTCAGAAGACTGACAGCATATAATGGAAGTGTGTAGCACGAGCTATGAAATATTCATTACTGGCAGGAAAGAGGCAGCCTGATTGAGGCCAAGCAGTTTTGTCGGAGCTCAGCTGTTGGCGGGTCTCGCGGGCCAGTTATGTTTAGCTTGCATGCCAGAATCCCAGAAAATGCAAACACTGCTGTTTAATGCATCTTGAAATAAGTCAAAGGAGGTTTCCCTTCCTCAGCATAACCTGCCAAGAAATTTGCAACCAGTACCAGTCACAATTGTTAAAAGAAAACAAAGTCTCTGATAAAAAAAAAAAAAAAAAAAAAAAAAAAAAAAAAGAAGAAGAGCTCCTCAAAGTAACCCCTGAATGCTTTCGCTAGCTTTAAAGAAATAATAAGAACACAGAAATTCATCTTCTTAAAGAGATGTGGAAATCCTGGAATTCGGGTATCAGATACTGCACAGTAACAGCACTGCAGCAATTGCTTTTATAGTGTAGCAGCTTGTTCTGTATTAGATTACAAAGCACAGTGGAGTGATTTATGAACAAAGCTCCTCTGTTAAACATCCTGCTACATCCAGCTCCGAAGTTAGCTTGCACCCTGGATTATTCATGTTATTGCTAGTGAGAATGTTATGTTAAAAATCATAGTTGCTGGTTTACAAACATGGGGATACCTCTGCTACTTTAAAGCGGTTGTAAAGTTTTTTCTTTCATGCATTCTATGTAGTAAGGTAAACTACCTTCAGTGCGCAGCTCCCCTTTTAGCCCCCCGAAAACTTACCCGAGACTGATCGCGAACCAGTGATGTGTACAAGAGCCGAAGCTCTCCCGGGTCTCTCTCATCTCTTTGGCTGAGACACAACAGCCGGTGAGGAGGGAGTGGGGGCGGTACCAAGCCCTGTATGTCTTATGGACATACAGGGTTGGCTTGAAAGTGATCATGCATGGGTGCCGGGGGGGGGAGGTCAAGGAGCCAGGAGAGCCGGCAGGGGATCTGAGAAAAGGAGGATCGGGACTGCTCTGTGCAAAACCACTGCATAGTGCAGGTAAGCATGACATGTTTGGTATTTAATTAATACAAAAAAAGAAGAAAAAAAAAAAAAACCACACACACACAAACTTTAGGATTGTACTCTTAGCCAGAAAAATGCTAGGCAGTACAGGCAACTAAAATTATTATAGCTGGTGTGTAAGTTTTTGCCACAATCAAGGGAAGCACTTGACCCCATTCTCCAAGAGGGATCAATTCTTGAACCCCAACTTTCTAAGCTTTATGTAAGCCATACGTAAAACCACCTTGTGGGAGTAAAAAAAAAAAAAAAAATTAAAAATATTAACCAGACAGTAAGATAGCTACCACCAGCACCAACATCTATTTGGCACTGCTTGAAGTGGACAACATGCATGCCTCCAGACCAGTTACTGCAACGGCCAGTTTGAGCAACCTGTCAAAAAGGTCCAGGCATTGTCACATTGGGGCACCATCAGTGTGATTATTCAAATAGTGACCATCAAAACAAAACAAAAAAAAAAAATCACAATTTGCATGGTAAAAAGGAAAGTTGCACTGACATTCAGCTCACACCAACATAAAATCGCAAGACTTGAGCGTAAAAGAGAAGTACAGCTAAAGCTTGCTTAGTCAGGCGTCTTACGTGGGTCACAGGGGTGCACTTACTTTTACTCTCCTGTGACTCAAAAATCAGTCAACAGCAGGCTATGGCCAGAAATAAAAGCTTTACCATTGCTGAACTAAGAATACTAGCTTCCTACTCTGGCTTGAATTGGTATTCCAAACAAACATCTTAGAACATACTAATGCCACTGTATCAGCATGATAGCCAGGCTATGCAAACAGCTTTGATAATAAAAGGCCCTGCTGCTTATTTTAACCCCCCCCCCCCAAACCCTGCACATTTAACAAGTTCTGTTTATGAGCAGTCAAAGCTCACCTGGTGCACACCATTCCCACAAAGAGCTGCTTAGCCTCAAATATACTTGTCCCCCTAGTATACCACAACACTATGGCACCAAAGAAGCTGTCATTAAAAGTGTCTTCCCACACCCATGTTGCTATGTCACTGTTGTGAGAAATTTGACAAATGTGCAAAAAAAAAAAAAAAAGTGAGGAGGGGTTTTCCCACAGGAGATTAAAAAGGAAATTGGATCTCTGCTCTGCTGGAGGCTACAACATGTAGCAAGGGGGATCCCTCATTACTAGTCATTTAAAAAGTATGACTAATTTAACCAATTATATCTGAATGCTAAACTAAATCAACCAAGGTAGAACAGGTAGTATGTACTGAATCTCTTTTCACCTGGATGGTTTAGTCATGCCACCAAATTTACATGGAATGCAGTTAAAGGCACAATTTGAAACAACTCCTACAAAAACAGGGGAAAAGGGGGGGTCTTCAGAAGGCATCTAATATTCCTTCACCACACAAACCAGCTATATTACAGATCCCACACCTCTCTTTGGGGATTGCATTAGTGTAAATAACAAAGATAAATAGCAGGATGCATTAACTTGTCTTTGGACATTTTCGTTAACCCACCTAGCAAATAGATTCCCCATCACTCTTAATATTCAGCACAAAACATACCTATAAATAAGTTGGCATCCACATTCGGGTATTTTCCAAGCAGTTTTTTACATACATCCACTGCCGGATCGTCAACATCTTGCACACAGAGAAGGATTTCAAACTGCAAGTGAAAAAAAAACCCAAAATGATTAGTTAAGAAGTCAATTATCACACTAACTTGGTGGTGTGTGACTTTAAAATATACGTCCTACAGTATAGTAAATGGACTGAGTACAACCAAATAGGACTACTAAAAATGAAGAGTTTCAGTTTCTCTATACTCTTTTCGTTCTTTTCATTTAACGTAGGCACCTTGTCAATGAGTTTTTTTTTTTTTCTCCGTACACCTCTGCAGTACATAAACATTTCCTCATGTTTATCCCTTTAAAAAACACTTTGGTTACAGAGTTATCTTCTGAAAACGTAATGCCTTCCTAACCTCCTGCAGTGAGCCACCAATGCTGGTTTTCAATGAGGTAGCCAGTTCATAGATCTGTACTGCAAGACATTAAAGCAGAAAAGCCAAACTATTGTGCAGGACTGCAAAAGCAGAATCCAGCAGCCCAGAGTACACTAAAAACTGCACACACAATTAACACATCAACAGCAAAGGTTTTTTTTTTACCTCATGCTGACCTCTTACTTGTGTTTCTAAAAGAACACTGAAAAGTTGGTATACCCACTTTAAAAATACACATTTACTTTTATGAAAGAATTTTTACTCCCTTTCTTAAACAAACATAAAGCTATTTATGTCTGGAAGTTAACAGCCTACCTTTTGCTAAAAGAAAAAAAAAAAAAAAAAAAAAAAAAAAAAAAAGGAATGAAACTAAGCATGAGAAAGTGACAACAGCTACTTTACATTATATAGTAATGAGTATGTAATGTATGTGTAAAGTAATACTACCAAAAAAAAAAAAAAGTATACATACATACATACATATACACACACAAGTATATGAGCACATATATACATACACACACAGTTTAAAACATTGTATATGAGCACATACATACATACACAGAGTTTATAACATTGAACTTAAAAACCACTCATTATAAAAACCTATACAGCAGAACATACTATATCTCAATTCATACACTGTAGGCTTAGACCAGGCATGTCCAAAGTCCGGCCCGTGGGCCATTTACGGCCCGGGGGTCGGTTTAATACGGCCCTCCAACAGCCCTCCCTGCTCTGTGTAATGTGGCCCTCCCACAGCCCTCCCTTCTATGGCAGACAGTCTTCTGCTTGAGAGCAGAGGGCAGTGCGCATGCCTGACTGCTGCGCTGTCTCTCTGGTCTGTGTAAATGCGGCTGTCGCACGGCCCTCCCTTCTGTGGCAGACAGTCTTCTGCTTGAGAGCAGTGCGCATGCGTGACTGCGCCGCGCTGGGAGCGACAGAGGGCGGTGACGTCAGGGCCGGGCTTCCAGCGTGAAGTGTGTTTCTCTTCCCCTCCCAGCTGCCGAGCAGAGACTTCAGCTCCAGCTACCTTTTTCACCCTTCACATTAGTGCAGGTAAGTTTTTTTTAATTTATTTTCAATACATTGTGAAAACTCAGCTGTCAGTTGATCTTAATGTTATGAAATGAAGTATGTCGTTTGCAATTAACTTGGCATAAAATAATTTATTTGCATTTAATTGTAATGGTTCAAAGAATGTTCGGAAAAATGTTCGGCCCTCCACCATGTTCACTTCATCCAATCTGGCCCTCTTTGAAAAAAGTTTGGACACCCCTGGCTTAGACCATAGGGGGAAACAGGACCCCATATACAACTCTCATAGGTTCAAGTGTAACAGTCTCGATGTAGAAGCTGACCTACGCATTTCAAGTATTACTCAAGGACAAGTGAAATATGATCTGAATGATGTAATAAACATATATATATTTAAACTATATATTAGTTTTTGAATTAAATATTGGGACAGCAAAGTCCCATATACCCACGATACAATTTGCTGGAGGGCAGTAGGATATGAAAATATCAATCACTATGTCAACTAGCTGAAGTTTGCTTGCCCCTAACCTAAACTGAGGTTTGTCCAGGCCTGTTGTATCTTGATCCTAAATAATCTTCTAGAAGTTTACTCAAGTAATAACTGTATCAATTTGTTTTAGAACATTTGCTTGGTCAAAATGGTTACTTTAAAGGATAGGCTCACAATGATGCGGCTCTGAGAGATGCGTTTTGCACAGACATGGCAGCCCAATTATTTGAATGGGCTTGATGACGCACTTGATTTGAATGGGCTGCTATGCCTCTTGTAACACAGGGAAAAGGTCCCTGCATCATTTTTGGAATCGCAGTCCGCATGGGAACTGAAAGTGCAGTGCAGTTCCCAGCGCAGGAGCAATTTCCAGTGCATGCGGCATACCACTAGGATTAATGACACTTACACACATATCCTGTGTTTTTTCTGTGAAGGTGCAGTCCTGCAGCAGCAAACACTTGCACAGATGTGAACCTAGAGCTGTGAACAGGCTAAGTTCAAATCATGATACTGTCTCAATAATCCAAATGATATACCAAATGACAATTCAAAGCGTCATTTTGAAAATAAGACCAAGCTTGTGTAAGTGGTCTGATTGGACCCTCTGTTCTCCTCTATGGAGGGGCAGACATAAACACATTTGTGGGCTCAAACAGCCTGGAATGCCACCAAGTAAGCATAATTTGATAACTCAGCAAGAATAACTGCATGACTAGACATAATATTTTCCCTCTTGGCCTTCTACACTTAGTAAAACAGACTCACCTTCTGACACAGAGCCACTGCCTGTCAAGTCAGTGAACAGGTGTCCATAAATGAGAAGTCCTGTTCAGCTTGTGCCTACACCCTGCAGTCACATAGGCAGTAATCTATCTCTGCCTCTTTAGTCAACTCACAGTTTGACTGGACTCAGGCTTATGGGGCAGCAGTGTGCATTTTTAAAACGTAGGGGGGCTGCTTTCAATGGAATCCAGATTGTTGCCTTTTGGGTCTAGTGTACAGAAGCATCTGTGCTGGAAATAAGATATCTTTTACAATAAGCAAATGAAGGCAAAAGGAGAAAATTCTTTTATAGTCTAATCATGCACTTATTGTTTCACGACCAATGTTTCAGGGCACACTGGAGCACTTCAGCCCTTGTTCACACATATGCGATTCTGGATGCATTTTTCAAATGTGCAGTTTTGCATGACAGGCTAGATAGTATTTGTTCCTTTTAAGGTGGTTCACACTGATGCGATCCACAAGCATTTAATTTTGAGTGGGATTCCAAAAAGGGTTCTGTGCGAGTTTGGAACGGTGTGTTCCAGACTCGCAAGTGACAGAAAATAGTGGCATTTGGAGGTCAGTGTTCATATAGGATTGCGATCGACAAGCATTTTTGAACTGCAGTCAATGGAAGGTGTTTTTGCACAGAAGACAATGGAAGGCCTTTTTTAAGTCAACAGAACTGCAGAAACCAAAATCGCATCTATGGTGAAATTGCACTTAAACCACAATGCTATTCACACAGGAACGCAAAATGTGATTTCAGCATGCATGTGTGTGAACCCCAGGTCTGGATGTAAACATGCCTTGTCTTGGGCAAGCTCAGGAGAACACCAACTTGTTTACATCTGCAGTCTTTAATTCTGTTTTACAATTTAAGTAAGCAGGGTGGCATCACTGCCTTCTGAAAATGCAAGTTTCCTGTCCACGTCCGGTTTCAAGAAATGAAGGCCACAGACTTGGCACACGCATATAGCAAAGTGTCAGAATTCCTTACTTCTATACTAGCTTCAAGTCAACCATTTGGGAAAGGCAAAGCATCAATGTGGAAGGCATGCAACTGACCCCCACTAACTGCATGACAGAGATCCACCTATTCCCACCAGCTGACCTTCCAGAAGCTGCCCAGAATTTGTATAAGCTTGGTGAAAAATGTCACCAATAGTATTAAAACCCAATAATCATACAGGAACAAATTAAATACTTCTGCCTGACAGTACTATGACCGCTGGTGTGAATCCAAACCACGGCACCACCTGCCTGGAGTTTCAATGTTCTCCCTTTGCCTGCATGGTTTCCTTAGGGTACTCCGGTTTCCTCCTACACTCCAAAGACATGCTGGTAGGTTGATTGGATCCTGTCTATGCCTAGGTTCACACCTATGCAGGTTGCGTTTGGTGTGTTTTTGCATTGCATTTTGTGGTTTTTGCATTTGTGCTTTTAACATGTTTTTGATGCAGTTTTTTTTCCTTTTTAAAAAATTTTTCTTGTTGCTAGGCAGATTTTAAACACAAAAAGCATTTTAAAAAAAATGCAGCAAAAACGCAATACATGCTTTTCTGCAGCATTCCCATTGAAGTCTATAGAACCAAAAATGCAATGTTTTGTGTTCAAAAAAGTCCCTGACCCTTTCCAAAAAAACTAACTGGTTGAAAATGCAGAGATGTGAACCTGTCCCATAGGAAATCATGTTAAATGGACTGTACTGTGTTTCTGCAAAACACTTAGGTGTGAACCTAGAGTAAATTGGCTTTAGTTTGCTTGTGTATGTATGAATGTAAGTTAGGGACCTTAGATTATTATTATACAGGATTTATATAGTGCCAACAGTTTGTTCAGCGCTTTACAATATAAAGGGAGACAATACAGCAACAATACAAGAGGGTTAGGAGGACCTGATCCTTGGAGCTTACAATCTCAGGAGGAAGATTGTACACCCTTGAGGGTTAGGGACTGATGTTAATGTACAATATATATGTGTAAAGCGCTGTGAAAATTGATGGCGCTATGCAAGTACCTGTAATATATAAATAAAATGAGAAAAAAAAATGAATGCTGGGATATGTTCTAAAGAGGGGAGGGAAGTTTGGCGGTAAATTTGGACAATGCCTGGACTTATGCTTTAAACAAGCCTAACCTATCAGATGTTCAATAGTAAATGAACGGGTGAATGAAAACAGCATAAAATCTTTCTTTTATTCTCCTTCCCTGTTATCTATAAATAGATGTGTGGTATAAGAGGATGATGTGTGAATGTGTTCCAGCTAATGTCAAGGCAACTCATTAACTCAGCTCTAAGAAAGCTTATGTACCTCCCAGGGTTTAACCAGACAACATGTGAGCTCATCCTTATACTTTG